ATATCTGACATTGATTAAAATCACTATCAAAAAAAAAACGCTTCGATGCAAATCTTTAGATAGTGTTTAATTTTAAATAATTGAGGATTATTCTAAAAGCTACATAATCTGCTAGTTCCTTATTAAAATCCTAATTAAGATAAAGTATGTCGAATGAAAAAGGGATTATTAAAAATTATTATTTCTCATATATTTTATTTTTCATGATAAAGTATATTACATTAGCTTTAATTTAAGATATATATAAAAGTGTCAGACTTTCCGGAACATTTTCAAAAGTCAAGTTGACAAAAATTAATTTTTTGTGAAAAAGTTGTCCTTTAAAATCCCTCCCTGTCGGCAGGTAAAGGGTCGGATATAAAAAAAAAATATACGAAATGAAAGGTAATGATATCATGTATCTAAAAAAAAAAATTATATTGATTTGGTTATTTTTAAAAAAGTTATGGCACTTTTAAGTAAAAAAAATTTCGAAAATTTCGAAAATTAGCGATTTTTAAATTTGTAATTTTTTTGGAGGTTTTCCCCATTTACGGGGAACGAGGGAATATTTTTCAATTTTTGAGGGTAATGTCTTCGACTAGATACAATTTGTGAAACCCAACCCAACCCAACGTATCGTTGAAAAAATAAGGGATATAAGTATCAAGTTTTCATTTAATTTTTATGTATCTTATATATACGATGAGGTGACACGAATGATGCAACACATGGGTGTCTAGTATACAACTAATTTATTAAACAAAAAGATACCACCGAGCGGCGATAAAAATTCCGATAAACCGGTTCAAAACACATATCATCTTTTCCCTCTTTATAGAACAATAATTTAATACAACTAACAATAATAATAATAATTAAGCTCGATTAGTTACACGTTGTAGTACAAATGTTTTAAGTAAGAAATAACAACAAAAAACTATCAATGAATTAATGTTAATTTAATACGTATTACTATATAATAATTACTATTATTTTTATTTATTTTTTTTTTTTTACTCTATGTAATTCTCTTTGAGCCAACTGTGCTTAATTTTATTTACATGAATTATTTTATGTTTACCCCCAACTTCAACTAAATACAAACAAGATCCTATTACTTTTACTATTTTGCCAATTAACCACTTTTGACCTTTCTGATTATTTTTAATCAAAACATTATCATCCACTACAAACTTATCTACAACAGGAAACATAACGTTTGCTGTATTATTATTACACTTTATGGGTGGCTTAAGTATAGATAAACGAGTTTTACGCTCATAACTAAATATCAATTCTGATGGACTATAACCAGTAGTCATTGACGGTGTGTTTCAATAAAAGAATAATAACTCATCGATTTTACTTTGAATTTTTTTTTTATCTTTTACCCGACTGAGTATTTTTACCAACCCTTTTTTTACTGTTTGAACACCTCGTTCTGCTAACCCATTTGATTCAGGATTGTATGGAGGTGCATGAATAATATCAATATTATTACCTTCACAAAAATCATGAAATTCAGTTGAGTTAAATGAAGGACCATTGTCGCAAACCATTGTTTTTGCAAACCCAAATCGATGGAAACAACTATTTAAGAATTCAATTACCTTACTAGCATTTGTAAGATTCATAACCCAACATTCAAACCATTTACTATAATCATCAATTAATAACAATATTTTAACTTTATTAATTTCAAAGAAATCGATATGAACTCTTTCCCAAGCAATGATCTACTTTGGCCAACTAACATATACCTTATCATTTTTAGTTTTATCGTTTTGATACATAATGTATCTCACCACACATATGACCTAACCAACATTTTCGTACGTACTATACCGGGATGACCCTCGTGTAGTATTTTTAACACATGCAGTTAAATGCTCTTAGGTATTACCACTCTACAACCTACAATAATGCAATTTTTATCGATGCCTTTATGTGTGTTAATCGTAAGCATCTACCAAGTGCAACTTTTAGCTGCAAATAAGCTTCAGATAGATCTACCATAGTAAATACTTTACAATTACATAGCTCATTGAATACCTCATCAACTCTAGGAAATGGGTGCTGGTCCACTCTTAAAAATGGATTTACAGTAACGTTAAAATCAATACAAATATGAATCTTACCATTATTTTTTGGTACTACTACTATACTGCCGTGCTAAGCAAAAACAGGATAACTCCAAAATTAAAAAAAAAAATTTTTTTGTTTCTATAGGTAAATATAGTGGTTTTACACCAATTTTTGATGTAAAAATAGTATATTTTTTATTAAAACACATCTAAACTTGAAATATAAAATAAGAAAATATACGGTAAGTTCAATATATTTGATAAATATATAATACTAAGCAAAAACTTGGTATATCACATAAAAAATAATGGTGTTACCGTCTTTTGACTTATGTTCATACATTGGGGAAAAAGAGTATTTTGATTTACTGTTAAAAATCTTTTTTTGTGTTCCTGAAAAATCATGTTGACTGGAGTTATCCTGTTTTCGCTTAGCACGGCAGTATAGGTGATGCCCACTCACTATTTACTACTTTAGAAATTATATTTTTGCGTTCTAAACGGCTTAATTCATCTTCTACTTTTGATCTAAGTGCATATGGTAATTGATATGCTCTATGAAATCTTGGAACACAGTTATCTTTTAAAGTTAAATTTACTTCATATCCAATAATACTATCATCCAAATTAGTATTATTAGAAATGATATACGGAAAGTTTCTTTTAATTTCATCAACAATTTTATTTTTATCTTCTATTCTGCTTATAAGTAACTGATTTTCTCCTTGATTCACCTCACTAGTTACACTAATGAACATTTTCCTCCAATCAGGAGAAAGTATATTTAACCAATTCCTACCTAATAAACGCTTACTAACCCTGTCATTAGTCACAATCAAATTGAGTTTTACTACTTTACCTGCCTACTCTACATCAACTAAGGATTGACCTAACACTTCTATTTCAGTATTATCCAGGTATTAATTTTACTTCGAAGTGTTTTATTAAATAATTTTTTTTTTTTTTGTATCTTACAATTCTTTCTCAGCTCTCAGAGAACTGATTTTTTTCAACGATACGTCAAAATATCACAAATCGTATCTATTCGAAGACATTATTCTCAAAAATTGAACAAATTTCCGTCATACCCGTAAATGGAGGAAATCTCCAAAAAACTTACAAATTTAAAAATTGCTAATTTTCAACATTTTTTCAATTTTTTTTATTTAAAACTACCATAACTTTTTTAAAAATGGCCAAATTAAAATAAATTTTGTTAAATTATTTACCTATCATTTTGTATATATTTTTAACACGCATATATTAGTTTCACATGTATGTTTGTTGTTTGTCGTTTGTAGTTTGTAAGTTTGTAACTCCACGCGGCACGTGTTATTATGTCGCTTATCCCGTCGTGAATGACCTTGAGACTATACTGTCGTAACGCATTCGCCCCACCCCGCTCACCCCTCGTAGACAACAATATTTTCCAACCCGTAGACGCGCGCGTGTCATCAATTATGTAGAAATATATATATATATATACAGGGTGTTCACTAAGTCAGGAAACGGGTTTCTATTGTTCTCATTGTTACAAACCCGTTTCCTGATTTACTGAACACTCTGTATACATATATTATTTTTGGTTTTCGTACCTGTATACGCGTGCGTGTCATCAGTTATATATATATATATAACAAATTTTTATTGTGATTGACACGGCCTCGCGTCGTTTCATTATACACGATGCCCCCCACGACTCGTGCCAACTTTATCAGCCGTCGCCCTATTTTATGAGTATTTGACTGATCAACACCGCGCGTTATACTCCGTGGTGCAAAGTCAAGCAAGTGCCGCACGATGTCCCGCCGCTAATGATACTGTAGTCTTCTTCCTGTTGTCAAAGTGACAACGTCAACAAACCGATCCGCACTCGCACACCGTCGTCATCTACGCTGCTAACCTTTTGACGCTCGAGGATCACGCCGGACATCGTGTCGTCGACGCCAGCGAAAGTGCCGCGATATTATGCGATAATCTTATATTCCTACCGCCACCGCTAATATTAATATATATATTCATATATTAATATTCATTTATATATTCCTTCAGCCGACGCCACTGCCGCCGTATATGCCTCGTGTATAATGTTCCCCCCACCACTCCCGCCCACAAAACACGGCTATACCTCATGAGTGATACGTTTACATACTTAGGTCGCTTTACATGTATATATATATATATAAATTTATATATTAATACGCTTTACACTCATTAAGAGATATGTAGTATATTCATTCCGATTACGGGGGATGATTCCCGTATGTCATTTTTCGTCATTACCACCACGTTGCGTGCCTGCTGCTTTCCTTTAATGTGGTAGCCGTTTCTTAGACTCCCTCTCCGGAATCGAACCCTGATTTCCCGTTACCCCTTACAACCATGATATTGATATTAACTATTATCATAATATGAAACTAAAAAGTGAAAAATAAATATAGTTTTAAAAAACTAAAAAACACGCTTTTAAAGCACATCGAACTAAAAAGTTAAAAATAATTTTTAAAATTAACTTAAAACAATAATACTAGTATTTTTCGTTTATTATTGTTTTAAGTTAATTTTTAAAATTATTTTTAACTTTTTAGTTCGATGTACTTTAAAAGCGTGTTTTTTAATTTTTTAAAACTATATTTATTTTAAATTTGACCCGTTAACAGCCCACAAGGGGGTATTCAAAACGACAAATTTTCACAAAAAACTTTTTCAACTTAATTTTTGAAAGTGTTCCGGAAATACTGAAACTCTTATACATTTTAAATTAAATCTAATAAAATATACTTTATTATGGAAAAAAAAAAATTCGGATTTTATTTTGTTTTCATTATTAAAACGAACATCAAAGTTAATAAAACAAATACGATTTTTGTAAAAAATTATTTTTTATAATTTTATATTTTATAATGCTATAATTTTTTGAAAACTGTATGGATTATTATAATTTTCTATAGTAAGTACTATTTATATATTTCTTTTATGCGACATACTTTTTTATTAAAGCGGACCATTTCTCTATATAAAGGGTGGGTTCAAATTTTATAAATGCGTATAGAAAGTAGAACTTTTTGAAGGATTAATAATCCCATATTAATTGTTATTGATGCATGATTTAAATTTCAATTGTCTTGTATTCTGAATTGGATAACTTTGTTTAATTAAAATACATTAAAATTATATAGCTAAATAATATATTTATATAAACAATATATACTATGATTTTGACACTTGTATACGCTAAGAGATATTAAAACACAATTAAGTTATCGAAATTTTAGGTTCTTAATTGTTTGAATACAAGTGGTAACTTGAACAACAGTGGTTCCGTATTACGTTTGGGTAGTAATTCACTCGATATTAACTGCATAAAAATATATCAATCACTCTTTACTTGATTTATCTGCAATGGCAATCTCATCTTAAAAAAAGAAATATTGAAATACATTTTAGAATAGATTAGATAAATATTTTTTATTACTGTTAATAAATAAATCATTTACTTAGCCATTTTTTTTATACATTTTTTTAACTTCTATCGTAATAAAATAAATTTTAATGAATAATATTTATTTCCTTCATAATTATTAATTTTTTTCAAATAGCCTTAGCTTAATAAATTGTATTTTTAGCTACGATCGAAACTGATGAGGTATTAATTTTATTATGATGTGTTTTTTTTTATGTCTGTTGCCACTTTTTCTCAGCTCTCACCGAACTGATGTTTTTCAACGATATGACAAAAGATCACAAATCGTATATAGTTGAAGACTGCCCACAGGGAGGTATTTAAAATAGCAACTTTTGAAAATGTTCCTTCAGTTTTTCATTAGTCAGAATTTGTTCCAGTGTTTAAAAATTAAAAAAATCTCCTTTTTTGGAAAAAAAAAACTATTATTTTCGTTGAAATACCTAATAAGCTTTAATAGTAATGGTATAACAACATAAATAAATAAATTTATTTCATAAAATATAATATTTTCGTAAAACCCTACAACAATTTCAAACTTTTTTAAATGACTCATTCGTTTTTATACATTTTATTTATTAAAATAATCGTAATAAATATTTAATTATTCATACTAACTGTTAAAAATTAATTCCATTAGTTCTCTACCTGGATCATTAAGATTGGGCTGCGGTTGATATTCAGATGCTATAAGTCGTTATTACAAATATATCATAAATGCAATTTATAATAAATGTTGACAAAAAAATAGCCATAAACAGTTAACTTACAGCTAACAGAGACGATTGGAAAAAGATCTTTTGAATGATAAACACAATTAAAAACATCACAAGAATCAGCTGTACAAAAAAACAAAATGTAATGTATCAATAAAATGTAAATTTAATTAATAAAATATCACCATGTCTATTATAAAGTAATTTTCAACATGCTCGATCCCAAAGTAATGTTACAGTTCTCTCATAACCAAAATGTAGTTCTACGACACAGTACCATGATTTTATCAGCCGCACATCACATTATCGAAAGATATGTAAGTGTATATATATTAGTAATATATATTATATATATTAGTGTGACATATTAGTAAGGCTTGACTCTACGACGCCTTGGGTCGCAAGTTCTAATCCTGTACCATGCTTTTTTTCACACGATTTCCTGCATATTTTCTATGAATATTAGTCAATCCCAAGCGCCCATGTCATAGTAAATATGTTACATACACTGCCATTTATAGTCATAGAGAGTGATCAAAATCTAGTATAACACTTATTATTTCAGAAACTATTGAAAGTTTTTATAATAACGTAAAATATTAGATTTAAAAAATTCTTTAACGGAAACCTTTATTTCTAACTTGGTAATATGATAGAAAAAATCACAAACAATTGTTGCTTTTTTTATCCGATAACACCATTTAAGAACATTTATTATGATGTTCTTTGCCCTTTATTATACTGGTTGTGTTTTCATTTACTCAAACCGTTAAGCATATTAATTAGCGTAGAGATACTTATGTGATAGTTCTACTCATTTGTTGTCAGGAGTTTACGCTGAACTAACAAAAGGTATTTGTTTTTCAGTGACCATTACATGTATAGTTTTGTTATGATCACTTTCGTTATATTCATTTAATTACATAATCAATAAATCAACTTAATCTTAACAACTACCTACTTATCCCAAATTGTCATCATCAACAACCAACTCCGTCTCACTTTGATATACCTACTAAGTAACTGTGCTAGTATTCAGACGTATTATATGTTCCACATTTAAAAAAAAAAAATTACCACATATTATTTTGCAGTTTTTTCAACCAAATACTTTTTCTCCTTACAAAAATTTAAAAATTTCAATATTTTTTGAAAAATTAGTGTTCTAGCAAATTTTGATTTCTGTATATTTTTTGCGATTAAGTTTCCGACGTGTCTTTTATAATATTTGTATACTAAAAAGATGTTTTGATGATAAATGATAAATCTTATATTCGCATGGCTCTTAATTAAAGATGATAGTTGTCTTCGTTTATATTATTAAAAAGACTACTAAACTGATTAAAAATAAACTCTATGATAAAAAGGGTTAAATAAATATTTTTATTCATTCTACCTAAGTATAGATACCTAAATCATCAAAAAACAAGTCATTCCAATGGCATTACTTGAAACTATAATAATCGTGTATATATATATACAACATAAAAATTATAAATAAAAACATCCATAAAGTATCTACAATCTATTTCGGTGTATATTTTGATATTAAATCCTATTAATATGAGTAGTAAAACTTTGAACATAATAGAACATTCCTAGATTCAGGTTAAGACTGTATTGAATTTCATAGGTCAATTTAAGGCACTACTCTTCACCAAGTCTTATTTAAAGTTCAATGGGGCAAACTAATGAAGGATCAAATAAAGTCATACAATGCCTAAAGTACACCAAAAAAATCAAAATATAAGTTCATAATTGTTTTATAATAAATAAATTGGAAAAAAACTTTAAAATACCTTCTAAAACTTCGGTAGTATATTCTTTTCTACATATTGCACATTTGTATTTATTATTTACAAACAATCTATTAATACAAATACAGCAGAATGAATGACCACAACACCCAATTTTTTTCTCTTCTTTATATTGCATGCAAATACAGCAATCCGCTAAAATGATAGTGTCCATTGTTATATATGGCTTTCATATTTTCAATGATAAATGAGCACTTGTATTTCTTCATTAATTTTTATTAGGCTTTGTAAAATCTATTAATCCTCCGTTTTACACTGAACATTGAAACCCAGTACAGTCAGAATGGGATCACCAATATAGAGATTTTTTAATTATGCCAAATAAAGATTAAACTCACTTTTTTAAAATTTAGTCTTTTTAACTTATAGTATGTAACATGATCTTTAATTTGACATATGTTTAAGAACGCAGTATTTCCGTAACATTTTCAAAAGTAATTAAAAAAGATAACTCTTTATGCAAAATTTGCTTTTTTTAACCCTCCTCCTGGGTAGATAAAGGGTTAGATTTTCAAAATACATTATACTCAATAAAAGGAATACCTAGGATATTTGTAAAAAAAAATTTGGATTCATTAATTTTTCAAAAAGTTATTATAGCTTTAAGTAAAAATATGAAAAAAATGTCGAAATTTACAGATTTTATTTTTGGGGAATTTCCTTCATTTACTGGGAGCAAGGATAAAATTTTACAATTTTTGATAATAATAAAAGAATGCAAAAATTTTTAAAAAAAAGTTAAGTAAAATGACAATTGAATAAAAAGTTTTAAAATTTGTCAGTTAGATGTGGTTCTGCCTGTATATTAATATAACATACATTTTTAATGAGTACTATTTAGAAAAATAATAACCAGCCAATTCAATTTATTTTGAATATTCTGTTAATAGTTGGTATTAGTATTCCAAAAAAAATAATACATATTGTGGATTAATTTTGTATACTTCATAATTACTAATATGATCAAGAAAATCGACAAATTTTAATACTTTATATATTATTTAGATCAATCGATAACGTTCTTATGTATTTGGTTCATAGATAACAGGTTCGATTTTGTTTCTCTGGTCTAGTAGGCTTTCCTATCCTCTCACGAAAAAGCAATAGCTTTTAGAGATTACGTTAAATATAAATAAAATCATTCTATTTATCTTTATCTTATTTTTAAATCTATTCAGGAGAGCAATAAAAATTAGGTAATTCAAAATAAATTTTAAATAAGGAATTTTTTGTTAGTATTATATTTATAATATATTAATTTATCTATAAAGAAAAAAATAGTTTAATATTTATTCTTCACTTACGTCGGTCATCAACAATTACTGTAAAATTTTACAAAATGTTATATATTACCCAATATTATGAATTACAAAAAAGTCTATATGACTATTTAAAAATAATTATAATAGTGATTAATTACTTAAAAGAGTTTCATTTTTTTTTTCATCTTCATCAAATATTTCACATTTGACTCCTGCTGTAAACATCCAAATTGATTTTTAAAATGATTATAAACAACAGAATATAAAAATTATGGATGAGCCGACATGAGTTATTTTTTGATACCTGATAAACCCATTAACAATCCGATTGTAAAAGCTATACTTATATAAAAACCTAAAATAGTGGCGAAGGTATTTTGATTAAAATCTTACAATGATTGACATTATTATTATAAGCCGCTTCAATACTAAAAATAAAAAAATAAAAATTGGTAGCGGGAGCTAACGTCCCTTTCTTAATCTATGGATGAGATATTAAATATTGAACTGTTTAAAGTATTTCGTGTTTTTATTTATTTTTTTAATAATAATAATCAAATTTATTACTAAAGAGGGGCGTGGCGTGGTGCGGTGGTCACACTAGTTGTTGACAAAACTCTAGTGTTAACCGCGCCTACCGCTGTAGGTGAACGGATGGGTGACCATGTGTACGCTTCTACGGTGGCGAAAAAGCACCATGATCCCAGTGCAGAAGGTAACGGAAACAACTGCACTTAATTTCCATAGGATATACCATTGATAAAACGACAAGTCCAAGACCTTTAGTATAAAAAAAAAAAAAATACTAAAGAATAAAACTGATTAATACCTTTCGATTTGTTTGCGGTTTTGATTTCGATTTTTAGACTCAGTTCCAAATAATTATTAATTTCGGTTCAAGTTTTAAAGTATGTTTTGTATTTTGATTTTAGAACTTGGTTTAACCTGTCATCTGTATCGCTATATACTTTTACATGATTGATATCGTGTTAGCGTTACGCTAACATTATTATTTTTTCGGTTCTGTGAAATATTTATTGAACTTGGAATAGTGAAACAAAAACAAAAATAATTGTCTAGTTATATCCTACAATAATTATACTGTTAAATAGCAAATTTCACTCAAATTTTCGATATAAAAACTAAAAAACAAATTTTTTTGTAGAAAAAAAAAGACATAATATAAAAATTACTTTTTTATAACAAAATCTGTTAAAATAATAACAATTTTAAAAATTATAACTCATCGTTCGAATTTCCTAGTTTTCTTTCACGGTGTTGCATGTCGGACAATTAGGAGTAGTATGTTCTCTACATATATAGACACCACATAATGAATAACTAACCTATAAAATATAATATAAAATTAATATAATGTATAATATACGAATTTTCACATTACCGAATAACAATAATATTTTGTCTAAATAATTATCTTTATAATAGTACCTTTGTAAAGCGATTTTTTCTTATTGGACAAAAATTACATTTGATTCGTTGATCACTTGTCGAAACATCTGGATTCGGACTTTCATTATTTTTTTGTGAAGTACATCCAGTCATTTTTATTATTTGTTGCCGAAGAAGGAATGATAAACATGGCTGTTCAAAACATTTTACCATGTAAGGTTTAGTGAGCTCTTGTCTCAAAGTTGTTAAATATTCTCGATGAGTTATCTTTTTACCTGTATTTTCGTGACATATAATTTAACTGTTTATCCCAGCAATATTCATTAATGGAAAAAAAAAAGTTAGGGGCCATCGACAACTAATTCTTGCCACCGAGTACTCACCTTTCATTTTGTCTACTACATCTACTCCACCTTTAGTATCATTATAGTACGTTATGACTTCTGGTTTTTTTTTATCACCGGATTCCGGGTCAATCATACCTTGATCATGCATATTTGATATCATAATAACATTTTTATTTTTGTTTGGAATATAAGATGTAAGTAAAAGGTCTTTTTCATATACAAACAAAGTCGAATTTACCTCTCTTTTTTTAGTTTCTATAATAACCGGAGCAATTTCCCTTTTGTTTTTTCTCAAAGTGCCCAGTAAGATTATGATTTTTTAGTAACTCATTAGCCAATGGAATTGAATTGTACCAATTGTCCATAGTAATATTTCGCCAGTTTTTGATATCGGCGCTATTATATATAAGAGAAAAACCACCAGTTGCCCACAAATCGTGTAGGTTCAAATAATTGCTACGCAAATACTCAGCCAAGTACGATAATCCTAAAAGGGAATCTATTTCTTCTTTCATAGTATAAGGCACATCCTTATTATTTTGATAATTTGCACGGATTTTCGTTAAATATTTATTAGTACACTCAACTATATCTATAACCATAGTATCAGGAAAAAATAACTTCCAGCAATCCAAGACTGATTTGGCATCTCAAGCGATTCGTTTCACTCCGGGCAAATGCAAAACAATATTATGACCACAAGTACAGATGTTAGAAGGGGGATTATTTTTATACCATTTAGTTATTTTATTTTTCCCTTAGAAAAACTCTGGTTCAGAAATTATAGTAATATTTTCACCTGAAAGAGAATGTGATCGATGGCGTAAGTTTGATGTAGTTTGATCGGTGTTTTCAACACTATTACTTTCCACATTTTCAATACAAAAGTCAAAATCGACATCGGTATCATCGCAATCAAATAATGTGTAATCATCCTCAACCTCACTTAACCACGCACACACTTTTTCACAATTTTTGTCCATTATTTAAAAGTATAAAAAGAAAACAAAATTAAAAAAATTATGACACGGTTTATACCATGTGAGCGCGATGCTAACATAATCGGTACTGCGTAATTTTACCAGTCATTATATCAACATAAATATGTTTTTGTTGTTAATTTAGTTTATAATTATTTAGATAAGAGGTATATGGAATTTCAAAACAATCTAGTTTTATTTAAAAAAGTTGTTCACAAGTTTAATGTTAGCGAAACGCTAACACCGATACCGATGATGGGTTAAAAACCAAGATTTTGATTACGGTATTAGAAACCAGTTTTTCGGTTTTGTTTCAGTGTCGTTTAGAAAAAACAATATCAACCGATTACAGACAGTTTTCAGAAAACCGGTTTTCGTCCCTGGTTTCGAGTGTATAATAAAACCTAATTATAATAAATTATTTAAATAATATAAATATTACCCTTAGAAAATATCAAATACAAAAATAATATGGTTAGATTTTTCTAAAAATATAAAAAATATATTAAAACTCCAAATAAATTCACTTATATTGTATCAGCACGGTTTTTTTTTTTTAGAATTTCTTAGCAGCTCATTTCAAAGTTATAAACTTTTAAATACAATAAAATAAGACTTTTGTTTATAAGTATTATTTTTTACATTTATTTAGTTTAACATATATATCATTAAATGAGCTCCCTGGAAGTTCTCAAAATTCCGTATTGATTTATTTTACATAACTCTTCCATAAAATAATTATATAAGAAACCAAAAAACATACCATATCTTTTATATTTTCTTATTATAAAAATATTACTATCGCGATATGTTTTAAAATTATACTTGTACTTCAATGTACGTGATAAACAACTTATACATTTTATTGAATATGTTTGCTTTTAAAGATTATACAGCAGAACAAACTGTTACATTAAATATAATATATAAGCAGTATTTATAGAATTTAATATATTTAATAAAATAAATTATTGCTCTACTATTATTAATGTCTCTTAACTTAATATATTTTAAGTAAAAATCAAAACTGCAAAAACGAAATAAACACCAAATATACTTAACTTGGTAACGTCATTAAACAATTAATTAATTAATTAATTAATTTTTTTTTTTATTAGCTTTCAATACAAAAGTGTTATTATAGCTAAACCATTAAAATAAAACTATACAATAGAAACTAAGACTATAATATAGGACTAAGACTATACAAAAAAAAATATTTTTATTAAACACAATTAAACATATCGTTAAATTAATAAATTAAACATACTCAAAATACTAAAAAAGAAAGAACAAAAAAAAATAGATCTAGGATATTAAATTAACATACAGAAAAATATTATATAACGAAGCCATCTGAATGAACGAAGAAAATTATTTGTATGATTATTGGGGAGGATTTTGTATTAAGGATATTAAAACTATTAATGAGTATAAAGACAAAAATTGAACAAGAGTAAACGGTTATGTTGTAAAGCTGGGCAATCAAATAGTAAATGAGAAAAATTACAGGGGACTTCATCATTGTCTTTGGAGCAGAAGGGGGAATGGTTTAGTGACATGTTAAAGGCATGAAAAGGTAGCCGATTATGACCAAATCTAAGATGGGAAAATGAGGTAATATGGAAACGGGGCAGAGGGAGGTTGTAATACTTTAAATTGTGATAATTGAAAAAATTAGTTGGGAGGGATTGTAATTGATGCTTGCTATAAGAAAGAAAAAGATGGTTAAAGTGAATTTTTGGAAAATGAGTAAGTGCATGAAATGGAATGTCATATATAGGTAGGCGATTGATTGAAGTAATTATAGAATTAAGATAGTAGAAATAGAGGTAAGTAGAGGAAGATTTTGGGTACATATCGCCAAAGTGAGCTTAGTGAGTGAAAACAATGAAATATTATATTTCAGACTGGATATCTGTTTTAAAAAGAATTTATGGGCAAACCAGTCATTGTTGATGGTGGAAGAAGGACGATTTATACAGTTTTTGAATTAAACAATTATATTTAAGCTTTTCTTTATAAAAACACAATATTAGGAAATTAACAAATATAAAGTCAAGATTTTTCTTAAAACATAGCTTAGTAATTTTAATTATATTCAATTAAGTAAATAATACTTTTTGAATTTAATTTGAGTGTGAGAACACACAAATTATTTTAAAGAATTTATAGATAAAAATTTTACAAATATAAATACTTTATAAAATGATTGTAAATAGTTATTAAGTTATATAATAATACAAAAATTGAGATATAAAGAGGTGGTATATATTTATTGTGTATATTGATCAAGTTTATGTATGTTTGGGGATTTGGACAATTGGTGAGCAACGAGGTTGTGTCGAGGTTGTAGAGTCCGACATATGGATAATATACAAATCATTTTTATACAATATTAATATAATTTGTTTTTACATTTTAGACTAGGGTCAACACATTGTGTTTATTTATTAAGATAAGAGTAAAAAGAGCTGACAAGTACAATTTAATTGTATTTAATTAATTAAAATGTATAATTTATTAATGTCCTAAAGAGTGATTTTTAAAGGCGACTAATAATTGACTTGTGTGTAATATAATATGATTAAACGACAGTATACGCTTGTTAAATATTCCTCTAAGTTATTTATTTAAAAACAATCATGTTATTTTAAGCATATGAATATAATTTATAAATAAAAGTGTTAATAGTCTGAAAAACCATTATTGTGGACACAAACAGAGTAGTCCACTGATATTTCATATTGTGATAGTAACGAGTGTATTACGACAGTTATTTTATTTTATTTACAATATTATTTGTTCTATAAATATTTTTCTATCAGCCAGTGGCGTATTTTGAATGATTTCTCGGGTGGTGTCCAACTTTTAATGAACCTCACAAACGAAAATTGTAGAAATGTTTACTGACTTAAAAATAACTTACTATTTCTCTAATTACTATTTTAGGAATTGACAAATAATTTGAAATTTGAAATTTTGGTACTGTTGTATCTTAAAAGAAACAACCCTAGTGTCTTAACTTAAGACACTAAGACTACTTAAGACTTAAGTAATAAATGTTTAATAATAACTTNAGTAATAAAAGTTTAATAATAACTCAAATGTATTTATTATAGATATAATTAAACAATGCAAAACATACAAAATAAATATACACTAAAAACACAATAAAACAATACACAAAATGAAAACTTAATGTCATAAACGTACCGCGCGAATAGAGATTACCTAAAGTTTCAAATTTTTGAGTTAATATACATGTATAATACACATGATGATATGATTATAAATACAGGTAGCTAAATGGTTTATATGATATCAATGTCGCAGTCACGGATTGTTTATTATCAATTATGAATATCATAGATATACTTTCTGTATTGTCAGTTAGTGTATTTATAAACTCACAACAATGCGCTTTACTAAAATTGATAATAACAATGCTGTGTACCTGCTAATTTCTTTGAAGTTGTTTTAAACAAGGTAACTCATAACTAAATACTTTATTTATAATAAGTAAACAAATAATAAAATCTCCTTTCAGTATTGATGTTCGTAAATTGCTTGCTTTTGATGATGTTTCAGTGTCATTCTACTTCGAAATTATAAATAACAATTCAATTAGGCACACAAAAAGCTCAAGAAAATCATTGACAGCATAAAAACGTTCAACTCATTTAGCCGCACATAATTGTTTTAATGATTTTTTAGTTATACATTTTTGACTTTCTTCGATTTGACTTTTCAACACATCTTTTCGCTTTGGGTATATGAAAAAATCTCTAACTTTAGATGTTGTTCCTAATCAATTTCGTGTTTCTTGTATAGAAGATGAATAAGAAATAGCAAGGTTTAAAACACGAACAGCACAATGAACAAACGTCGCAAGCGGATAACTTTGGTGAATAAGAGATTGAGCTCCGTTAAATTGACCAGACATAGAAGCACATCCATCGTAACACTGTCCTCTAACGTATTTTGTTTCTAAACCAAATGAATGTAAACTTTGAATAATAATATATAGACCTTTTCCAGTAGTATCTGTTGTAGGTACAAACTGAAGAATTCTTCCTTGGTAATCATATTTTCAACATCTAAATATCGAACACACAAAGTTACTTGTTCGCTTCCACCAATGTCGGCCGTTTCATCAGCAAGTATTTTGAAACATCTTTGGGCATTTATGTTTGTTACGATTTTATTTAAAATAATTTTATTACAGGATTCAATTATTTCATTTTGAAGTGTTTCACTTGTATATTTTATTGTTTCTTCAGCTTCCAAAAATGATTTTAAACGGTCATCTCCTTGGGCTCTGTATCTTAATATTTCTCTAAAATTTCCTTGATTTTCTTGGATAATTTGTCATTTTCTTGATATATATTGAAGTTACAAAGATAGCCGTTATTGTCAAAAAAAAAATAATAATAATAATAACATTAAAAATGTTATTTTCGATTTGTTAAAGTCGTTAAAATTAATTCAAATCTCCTGTTATTTTCTTTTATCAGAATTATTATGTCATTAATTAAATTATTAATTAAATTGTTAAACTATATTATATATTCAACTTAATAAATTTTTATGATGATTATAATCGCATGGGATGATGTTTTTTGTTAATAACTAAATGGAAATAGCAATTTCACATGGGCAAAATTTTTAATAGTTGCAAGAGAATAAATCCAAACGTTGATATTTTATTTCATACAGATTAAATTTTATATGCATAAATATTCTGTTAACCGATATCAAATTTATTCCACTTGAACTTTCATAAAAAAATCTCTATCATTTGTAAACTAATGTAATAAATAAACAAACAAATACAAAAGGTTTTTCTTCAAAATATCTTTAAAATATATATATATATTTTTTTTTTTTGATAATTCTCTGTATTATTCTTAAAATATTGTATTCTTTGACCAATAATACAATTAAAATAAATAAGTATTGTTTATACTAAATTTATTTATAATTGGCTTATACATTTTTTTAATGAATTTTTACAATTAAGTTTCCTTGACAATTAGATGTAAATGTTGATTTTATCGACATTTCAGTTCACTTCGTTTTTTCCCGTGAAAAATAAACTATCGTCTTGTGTAATTATTAAGATTTATTTAATTAGTTATTGATATGGCAAGTGAAAAAAATATTTTTGGTCAAACAAATGAATCAAACTTACATAAGGTCATACGCAGAGTTGAAGAAATATGGAATCGTCGTTTCATGCATTCCAATTGTGTTTTAAATAATACAAATAAAGGACAAATATCAAAAAAGTCAACTAAAGATGGAAGAATTATCTGTAAACACTATTAAGATTAATAATTAAACTAACTATTTCGAATAGAGAAAAAGTTTTTTAATATAAAATATAAGAAAAATTAATAATAAGTTCTCTTATTCATATATAACAATAATTCAGTCGCTTTACTTTAATTTAACTATTTTAATATTAAAAACCTTTTTCGAAATTGATTATTTAATTAATAATTATTAAAATTATATTCAATTTGCAGCAATTATTAATAAAAATATTTATCCTATAAAAAATTCCATTATTCCAAAAAAAAGCACGTATCGAAAAACGAATAAAAATGATAAAATTATTCCAGAAAAATTGGTAACTATAATTATATTAATATATTTATTCGATTTAGCTATGTTATTGGGGTTTGTCTGATTCAAAAATATAAAATAAACTATCAATCCCTTTAATATAAATGCAATAACATAATGTTTAATATTATTCTGCTATTTTTTCTATAAGATTTTTATGGGAAATTCAATTTTTATCGAAGATAATAATATAATATTAAGTATAGTTTATTTGTTTATTTAAATATCTCTTTGGTTGCCTAGAATATGATGCAGCAAAGAGAATTCGGAACACTTTTTCAGAATGAAAATTTAAATTCAACAGAAAAAAAAAATATAGCAATTTCAAAAGACAATCCGCTATTAATATCAGCTGATTTGTTAGAAAAGGTATATATTATTATGCTTTATTTCAATAAAATATTTTAGGGTATAAGGGGGTCGTTCCATGGACGTTTTAAACAATAGTAATTATACGTGTTTAATTTCATATTCCAAAACTTTAAATAAACCTANCATATTCCAAAACCTTAAATAAACCTAAATAATAGTAAACTGTTCAACAAAGTCTTTTATTAATTTTATGAAAAATGTTTAAATATGGTTACACTTGCAGAAGTAATGCAAGATCAGAACACAAAATCTCTTGATCAGTATAATGCATCTTCCTTTAAATCGCCCACATCATGGTATACTTCAGACACAATTAATGAGTACATTAAAATGATAGTAAAACGGTCAGAAGGTGAAGTTTATGCAGTTGTCACTGATTTTATTGTAGCGTATCTTCGAGGAGGCTATCCAGCTGTAAGAAGATGGATAAAAAAAGATATTCACACAATAAAATTACTTTTTGTGCCCATGAATGTATATGGGAGTCATTGGATATTGACAGTGGTTAATATACCTGAAAAGACTGTGACATCATATGATAGTCTTAAGTCGTATAAGGGTCCTTATCCAATGGTATTAAAAAATTTCTTAATTGAATGGGAGATGGACAAAAAAGGAAAAGCTTCTACATGGACATTACAAATAGGCGAGACATCTCGCCAAACCAATGGACATGATTGTGGGCCATTTACTGTTGAGCTGGCAGAAAAAATGTCTCGAGGAGATACAACACCAATAAATGCAAATTTTATGCCTTTTATAAGATTAAGACACAAAAATGAAATTATTGCTGGCGAGCTATTCTATTAATATTTTTATGAATGAAATTTTATTTTTGTATTTTATATCAATTTTCTTAATATTCACTATAAATTGAAATTCTTATTTGTATACCACCAAACATTTTTTTACTTTTTCTATGTTTAAATGTTTGTTTTGTTATTTTATTTTAATCTTATTTTTCTTTGTAACATTTCATTTAAGAAATTCAAATTTAATATAAATTTATCTTAACTGAAATAATTTAATTCTATAATAGGACACCCCCCCCCAAAATACGCCACTGCTATCAGCTGAATATAAAATAAATTAATTTATAAATAAAAAATAAAAAAAACAATTTTTGTGTAATGTATTACACCAGAATTATAATTTAATTTGTTTTCATGTACGGCAACATTAGATAAAAGGATACGAGATGTTTACTAATGATTAAAAGTGTATTTTTATATAATAGATGTTAATAATGTTTATAATTTTGACTAAAAATGATAGAACTACGTATGTTATTAGTGTAGTTATAGATAAAGACATTTTTTAAGAAGTTCTTTAGTCTCACTCCCGAAAATTGTTAATTAAATGTAAAAATAAACCAAAGAATATGTTAGATGTATATCGTCATGTACACGAGGAGATTTTATCCTGAACCTACTCGGAGTTTAAAATTGGACACTAAGGGTAGTTTTTTACAGAATACATAAAATTTTGTTGATTGATTGAAATAGGAATATTTTCATTATATTTAATGAACGTTTAAAGTTACAATCAGATATTCCACAATTAGGAAAAACTAGAATTTATTCTTATTCTATAATAGGACAGAAAATAATTACAAATCATTTTTTATTTTATTCGGTCCACTGTAAGTATTTTAAGATTGTTTAAAGCTTTGAATGACGTTAAAATCCATTTTAATATTGTGTACATAAAAGCGGAGGTAGTAATAGTATATTTCTTTGATAGCCGTAATTTTTTTACTAAGGTTATTCGACAATGTACCATAACTTGGTGTATTACACTACTTATAGATAGCAATGCTGGTGAAATTGGTGGTCAGTTGGGTTACACTATGTTGATAGCATTAGTTGTAGCATGACTGTAGTCGGATATAAGTGCAGTCTAATAAATGAAGTAATATTATAAAAATGTGTTTTAATTATTTAGTATATTATAGATGAAAACATAACATGGTGTCAGATATGATCATTCTAAGTTGAATTATATTGTACAATTAGAAGTAAAAATTAGAAATGAATTTTTTAACGTTGTAGGTCTCGCATGTTTAAGTGCGTTTAAGTTAAACACGGTTGGTGTGTTTTAGTTAAAAGAATAATTTAAAACTGTCTACATTCTTTCATTCTTAAAAATAAAATTTTAAATTCCATAAAATTTAAATTTTGATGGCAACTTGGCAGTAAACTACTGAAAATTTTACCAACAATTCGAAATATTTTGTTACGCAAAACCGAATGATGTAAAAATAGCAATTTTACTAAATGATGGTCTGGAGAGAAGTTGGTACCTTTGACGGGCGAACAAATAAAACTTACCATAACGTAATAACAATATATATGAATTATTTCAAGACAAAAACAAAGTAATATTTGAGCTATTCAACCACTAAGGGAACTAACAAAATTAAAATAGAGTGGCTATGGTCAGAAAATCAACAAAATTCTTTTGATTAAATAAAAAAATTAATAACAAGTGCACAAGTTCTTGCACTTTTCGATGATAATAAACCTATTAAAATACAAACTGATGCATCAAAGGAAGGCGTAAGTGCAGTATTACTACAAGAAGGGTTAGTGTACACTTTCAAAAGATTATCTGATACACAATAAAGGTACATTAAAATAGAAAAATAGGTACTTGCTATTTTTTTTGCATGTGAAAAATTCTATTATTTTATTTATGGTAGGTTCGCCTTATTAAACACGAATCATAAACCACTGGTGACAAAAGACCTAAATAAAGTTTCGCCAAAGTTGCAAAGAATGTTGTAAAAAATGATCATGAACAAGCTTTTTTTTTTCCTTTATTAATATATACACAATCTGTTCCCTATAGGTACAATAAGAGTATTAGCTAAAATAATTATAACATTGAATACTTGATAAAAGAAGCCACCCATTGATGACACTTTTAAGTGATTGTTTTTTATTAGCTTCGATGCGAAGCTGAGAAGGTATTAGTTTTACTAAGATGTGTTTTTTTTTTTTTTTTTTTTTTTTTTTGTGTCTGTTACCACTTTTTCTCAGCTCTCGCCGAACCGATTTCTTTCAATGATACGTCAAAAGATCACAAATCGTATCTAGTCGCAGACATTAGCCTCAAAAATTGAACATTTTTAAAAGTTAAATTGATAAAATTAATTTTTTGTGGAATAGTTGTTATTTTGTAATCCCCCCCGTGGGCAGGTAAAGAGTCTAATTTTCACAAAAATATACCAAATGGTAGTTAAGTACCTAAGATTCCATAAAAAAAAATATGTTAATTTGTTAATTTTTAAAAAATGTGTGGTAGTTTTAAGAAAAAAAGTTGAAAGGAGGTTTCACGTAATATAATATAGTATATATTAGTGTGGAATCTTTTATAATAAGTTTTTGCTTCTTTTTTAACAGTTTTAATTTTTAAATCAGAATGGAGGGTATAATTTGATACATATGGAGAGGAGTTAGTTAATTTTCTTAAAGAAATATTTTGAAATGCCTGAAAACGATTTATATTAGATTTTTTAGCATTTCCCCATAGTTGTAGACCATAGGTCCAAATGGGTTTAATAAGGGATTTATACACTAGAAGTTTCATATTTAAGTTAATAATGTTTGTTATTAATTAGTAAAGTTCTATGCATACGGATTCTAAGGTTTAATTGGAGTCTTTCTGCACGAGTATGATGGGCCCAGGTAAGTCGGCGGTCTAGGGTTAAACCAAGATATTTTACAGACGAAGAAGATGGAATTTGAATACCATAAAGAGTAACACTTGGGCACTGTCCAAGCTTAAGAGTAAAAGTTGTGTGAATTGATTTTGCTTGATTGACCTCATGAACAAGCTGCATGTAGAATATTTGCAAGGTATAAAAATTTAAATTATATTAAAAATATTAATTTAGAACTAAAAAAATATTTTTAATATTTTTTTAAAATAAAGACTGTTAGTCGATAAGTTTTAAAATTTTAAATATTTTAAGGGCAACTTCACTATAGATAGTGATGGCCAGTATAAAAAGATTATATAATGCGTAAATGATAATGAGACTAATAAAGAATATATACAGGGAGAGATATCAAACTTTTACAAAATAAAACAAACTTCACAATTGTTGATGACATATTATTTTTTTAATAATAAAGTAGTCATTCTGCAAGCTATGAGGCCACACAAATTAAATATTTTACATGTAAGTCTTTTCAGCATAACTAAATGTAAATCTAAAGCTAGGGAGATTATTTTCTGGCCTTGGATAAATAATGATATCGAAAAAATTGTGAATTATGTGCTACATCTAAACATAATAATAGTATGTAACCAATGTTAATTTATAATAACCCAGATAAACCACGACAAAAAATATGTACAGATATTTTATAAATCAAAGTCGTCAAATTCTAATTTGACGACTTTTATATTTTGGATCTCTAGATCCAAAATATTCCAAAAAATTGAAAGAGGGTCGGCCTGGTTAGAAACGCATGTTTTGGCGCACAGGGTTGTCTCAAGTTCGATCCCCAGGGTGACAATGAGATTTTCCTTGTGATTTTCTCATTAGTGGTGTTACCCGAGTAGCAATTTGAGTTCATACCCAGTCCATTTAATATAGTAACAACGATTCTGAACTCAGTTCATAGCACGATTCAAAATAAGATTTAAATACAGATTTTAAAATGGGGTGAACTGACTTCTACAAAAGTTCAGTAACAGTTCATAGACTCGATTCAGCAATAAAAATCTCGATAATAGTTCAATGAAAATTTAAAAAAATTAAGGAAAAAGGTTCCTGTTGTTCATAACAATTGACGTGTTAATCTTTACTTATTGAACGTATAGCATATCAATACTACAGGTGGACAGCGTGCAGGCAAAATGAGCTCTGTATAAACGGGGGCGATTTAATATAGAGATTGCGGATGTGGCATCCCTCAAATGTTTTTCACAGAAATAAAATTTTAACTATAAATTCTAAAAAGATTGTAAAAATTTTATAGTTGATGCTTAAGTTAATAAGATTTTTAACCTACGACTTTTATTAAAAATTTTTAATTGTTCCTGGTTTTTAATCAAATCTTTGATAAGGTTACGTCAATACAATATCTATTCAATTCATCGAAAATTAATCACGTAAATATTTAGAATTGCAAATACTTATTTGCGATTTTAAAGATCAAGTGAATTTGTTAAGTGGTAACTGGATATATATGCAAAATATTAAAATAGAGGAATTTAAATAGACGAGCTTGTTTATAATGTGTTATGTTAAAAAAAATTTTAATGGTTTTGTTGGGTTAAACTAAATTCAATTTAAATTCTGTTTGTGAATGTTTATTTTTATTTTTAAATATTGAATATGTCAAATTTAGCCTGTTATTCAGTACCGTTGTACTACTGCTATATTAATATTAATTACAATAATACGCTTATATGGCTGTTTATCAATGAATTCCATAATAATATTGAAAACTGTTCATCAAAAATATGACTATTGTACCTAAATAAATACTATTATATTTCTTCACTCTATTCGATACATTTAAAGTTGTCCAGAAATGTAAGACACAAACATTTTTGAAATTATAAAATATATTAGAATAACATTAATTTCTTATGAGGATATTTAGGTAAAAAATAAATAAGACATATTACTGGGTAATATATTTTAAATCATCTCAAAATAATGTTCACCACTTAGGTTAATATGAGAAAAAAAAATAAGTCATAAGGACAAAATATTTTCTTATACCGAAGCAGATTTAATGCAAGAGAATATTGACCAAGAAGTTTACATCCCCATTATTTTAGGAAAAAATGGTCTTTTTACATCTTGGAAAAGTAAACTAGTAATCTCTAGTAAAATCCCTGAGATGCTGTAAAATTACTTGTGATAGAAACATTAGCGTGAGCTTACTTATAAGTTGTAAGGTACTGGTTTAAAATATTTATTAATAAATCGTATTATTGAATATCCTAAAAAGAGATTATTCCTTAGATGATTTCTGCTCCATATATATAATACTTAGTATATTTAATAATAATAATATTACAATCGACAAATAAAAAAAATTAAATACATATTCTATAAGTTTTAATATATCTTTTTTTTTTTTTTTTTTACTGAACGTATAAACCTTCAAAATTTTATGTTGATAAGAATAAAGATAGTACCTGAAATTTTAATATATTTTTATTAAAATCTTAATAGTCATTCTGCAAAAACGTTTGTGATAAGAAATAAAATTAAATGTGTACTAAACTTATTCCTCCACTAAAAATATATTTATTTAAATATTCTCTAAATTTAAAAGAATTTTTAAAATGTAAGTGTTACTTTTTTGTATACTAGAAGAAACGCTTCATAAAAAATGTCTCAGACTTAACTGATAACATTAATAATTTTGATATAATTATCATTTTGTTTCAATGTTTTTTTTTATAGTTATTGCCTTCTTTGACTGCGTTGTGGAACCTTTCTACGATCGTACTCTATTTAAGTTTATATTATTTAACTTAAAATTACAAATAATATGAAATTACAACACAATTGTTCACAAATAATCAGCTTATTCTGTTTTATTTTATAAGAAAGAAATATGTCTATACTAAATAATTTCCTATCATATCAGCCTTACTTAAAGAACTAATTAATTTAGATAAAGAGTGAAGTATAACCCTTTGGATCACGGTTGTTAACGCGTTGTAACGAACACACGTTGCAAAAGATTAAAGAAATAATAGGAAAAGGCAGTTATCTTGATCACGGTTGATAACACGAAGGTTATGAACACCGTTGAAGATAAACTAACTTAAAAAAAAAAAAGGAAATTTAATATACAGAGTGGAACAGATCTAACTGACAACTCATATAACTTATGATTTACATAACTTTTTATACTTTTTTTTCAATTAATTTTACAATATAGAACTATATTAAAAATATGTTTTATGTTATTTTCGCAATTACAAAACATACTTTAAAAATTAATTTTTTTATTAAAATTTGTTTTAAGATTTGAAGATTTTATAGATAAGTTTTAAAAAAAATTTTTGATACCCAAAACTCTTATTTTAATACAGTAGTTACGTTTATGCGGCATTTTGAAATTGGTTAAATTTTGATTTTTTATACAATTTTCCTATGGTATCAGATGGTAGACCATATTAGGTAAAGTACAGAAGTAAACATTTATTATGTTATTTACTGGTAATATTACGCGATTTCTTTTCCATGATAATTATTATTGTAAAAATTGATTGAAAAAGAAAAAGTATAAAAAGTTATGTAAATCATAAGTTATATGAGTTGTTAGTTGATCTGTTCCACTGTATATAAATCTTTGATCACGGTTGGTAACAGTAAATCAACATAATTATGAGCACCATTGATTGTTCTGTATATTTTTGTATATCTTTTAAAATGTAAGTTCCTGTTTTGACTGATATATAACATAAATAAATTAACAAGCATTTCTATCTATCTTATAAAATAAAAAGTATATTATGTTATAATCTTTTGAATAAAAGTTAACAAGCGATGTCCAACGGACTTTTTTGCAACTGATAAACGGCAATAAAGCTACAGATGGTAGCATATTTTTTAATATTTCAAAATAATATTTTTTTATTTTATTTGATAATTCGATAATAATTTTAGAGCAAACACTCATCGAGTTACAAGCATTTTAATATATAGAGTTAAAGTGAAACGCAAGCGTATTTGGGTTAATCAAAGAACAAATTAAAAAAAAAATAAAAACTAAAGTTTTTAATAAATATATACATGAAATGTAGTCTAAAAAGACAATAATTATTAAAGTAAAAATTCAGCAAAATGATAATTATATCAAAAATTATAAACGTTGTCAGTTAGGTCTGAGACAATTGTATTAAGTTTTACAGTATAAAGTCTATGTAATATACTGATTAAATACTGTAAGACTTTTTTTTAATTATCTCTTCTTTTCTGAATAACGGTTTTTTCCAAAATTAAGTTATTTTGTAAATTTAAAATAAGTATAAAGATTTAAAAATCACTAATCTCAACTTGGGTTAAACCAATATTATTATTTGAGATGTTTACTAAAAAAATCATTAATTATCATTTATATATTGATATACTTACTTATAATTTAATTAATTCAAAATTTTTTATTCTATAAAAAAAAATTTACAGAATCTAGGATTTTTTACAATATGGACATCCACTGTTTGAATTTTTCATCTGTTCTTTACAACTATTACAATATATATGACTGCAATTACCTAAATTCTTATTAGTTGTATTTGCATAGCAAAATGCACACGTCTTTATTTCACTATTTGAGAGGGATTGGTCATCTTTAAACAAAAAAAAAATGTTTACTATTTAAAACAATTAAATATATTAAGTTCCTATATGATATTATTAAAATAAGCTAAAAATTAAATTTTAACTGTAATTATCAGTTTCTTTTTAAAAATGATCAAAAAAATAATCCTTACGTTTGTTATGTATTATATTATCTGCAACAACAATTAATTCAAACTTGAAAAAAATAAAAATTATTTAAGTACCAAACTATTGTACTAAATTTTTTTGCGATATTTTTTTGAATTTTAATTACAAAATTCAGATAACTAAATGAAAAATAGACAGTACAACTATAACCTGATATAGTAGCCCCACTAAGTAAAGAAGATACTGTTATTGTTTAAAATATGAACTAACAATGACTAACAAATTACTTCTGATCTGAATATATTTTAACAAAATTTGAATATAATTTAAAATTATTGTTAATTACAGGCCAAATGTGTATATCAGATTTTCTTTTTTTTTTTTGAAAGAAGGACGATGGATAGGCCTTAAAGCAAACCTTTAATATACTAATTTAAAGGATAAATAATATCTTTCCTATATATCCTTCTTTAGAAAATATTTTATATTAAAAAACATAACTTTTCTGGAATTGGTGGATCTAGTTATTTTAAATGATCGGATATTTATTACTCTCTTTCATAATATTTCTTTACTTAATAGTTTTTAATACACACACGTTTTAGTGAAAAAAGTATTTGACTTTGAAAATAATAATAACTCGATGCCGAAAAATCAAATATTCCATAAAGAATTATAAAAAAAGAATAATTGTTATTGATTTAAGACTTAATATTCAGTACTACTCACCGATTTCGTCATTAGTATAATGGAAATCTAAAACGAGAAATAACAAATTTTTACAAACATTAATTCAGTAATTATAAATGTTATCATTTTTATGACAAAATAATAAAGCACATAAAATAATATAAATATAAGGTTGATATGATAGTGATTTAAAAAACTCGGAAATTAAATAACTATTTTTATACTTTTATATCAAACCTCTTTACCCTATAAGAAAAGTTGTTCAGTTAAATAAAAAAAAAATAAATAGTTTTTCGTATATTTAATAAAAAGTCAAAAATTTTCTTAAAAAAAAATTCACATCTATCCATAATTTTTTCAAAAATTAACAATAATATAATTCAGTTATCAATGATTTTCTTTAGTAAATATATTACATTAATTTATTTAATGAATAAAATCAAATTTTCAAAAATGTTATTTAAAGTCAAGGTCAGCGTATAGGAATTAATGCATTTTTTTGGATTAGTTATAATTACTATATTTGAAATATATTGATTAATATCAGACGTTTTTTTAAAAAAAATCAAAGATATACTAATTTATTATTATAAAATGACATTCAATTTTTAGTAACGGTTTAATCCTTCAATTATAAGCATCAAATTAATATTTATCTACGTTCTTAAAAAACTATACATTTATTTTCAAGTTATATTGTAAAATAAAAATTAACTTTAAAATTTTACCATATAAGGTAACGTCAAATTTTAGAATCTTGGAAATAAAAAGCATAATAAGCTATATAAAATAAATGTAAATAACAAAAAATATGAAGAGTACTTACCTTTTAGTTGTTGTATTGTATATTCCTTATCCATTTGTTTTGAATCTAATAAATTATAATTAAAATTGTCAGAAACGTAAATTTAAAAATTAAAATTAATTCTAATTTAAAAAAATGTATTTTATAACCCAAAATAAAACAATTATTGTTATATTTAAATTATTAATTAGTGCTGTAGTTGTTGTAGCGGCTTTTGTAATATAGAAAATGTGTAAAATTCATTGACACTCATTTTTATACAAAATTATTATTTACAATAAATTATTCATTTTTAAATTATTTGTAACTTTAATATTTTTAAAAATGAATCTATACATTTTAAATTATAAGATTGCAGCTCAAATTGGATGTAAAACTATTATGCCAACCTTCGACTGAAATAACGGTTTTAAGAATATTTACGAAAATATAATTCTTATAATTCTGTAGTGAAATATCTAATAAAGCAAATTCCTATTATAACATTAATTTTATGAATTTTCAAAATAATTTATCAATTACGAAGCTGATAAAGTATATTCGTTTATGTTTATTTATGAAAATTTTCAGCTTTCACTAGACTAATTTTATTGATTAATATATCAAATTAATTCGATTTCAATCTAATTTAAGGTATCATTGCAGAAAATTGGAATACATCATCTCAATTTTAAAAAAATATCTCACGATTTCGTTACAGTAAAAAAAGACATTTTCCAAATTATTTTTCTATATTTTAAATCTAATATAACATTTTAAATATTAATCGTAATAAATGTTAATATAATATAAAAGAGACAGTAAGCTTTCTTTATTATGCATTTGGTTAAAATTCAATGAAAAACCTAAGTACAGGAAGGGTTGAAAAAAGCTTCTCACTTGTGTAAAAATTTGTTTTTCAAATTTGACTTCAAAAAGCTTCCAACAAAGCATATTTTACTAAACAATTATAAATTTACAAATACACAAATTATTGTGAAATTAAACAGATTCGCATCGTAGCGTTATTTTTAATAGTGACACTGTCAGATATCAGATATACTGGTTCAAATTATGCCGCAACCTCACTGTATTGGTTCTTATGTATAATATTTGTATATTTTGTAATTTTGGCTAATATTTATTAATGATTACATGTTACACGTTTATCATTTTTATTTGATAAGTCATTGTAATTTTAGTAGAATGCGTACAAAATAAACTCTTTTGTTTTCTATTTTTTAAACAGAATCAATGGATAGTATTTAAGTGTACACTCACTCCGTTCCGCTCTTTATCTTCATGTCGTGATTTAAACATAAAGTCGGAACGTTGTGTGTGTTAGGATCTAAGTGTAGTGGTATAATTTTGGGTGTGTGCCCAGCACCTGATTGTACATATTATTAGCGTTACTGCAGTGATCAGCAGTCGGCAGGTATGTATAGATGTTCATTGTATTCTCCAATCATAAAAGTTATTTTTTTTATCATTATTATTTCTGTATTCCCTTTAATTATAGACGAGATTTTTTGACCATTTAGTTTTTTGCCTCGTATAAACTAATTTTTTTTTCATTCAATAAAACCAATGTAATTACTCTTGACCACAAACTCTTTTTCTTACGTGTTTCGTCTTCAAACGAACTCGTCAATTTTGTATTTTTTAACCCTTCTGTTAACAACATTACAGTTGTTAACGAAAGTACGTACTCACATACTGTCAACGCGTGATTCCCCATTACATAAATATTGTAGTTATCACACCACACACGCACAAAATCAGTGTATACTATAGTAAAGTAAAATGTAATAGAGTAAGTAAAATATAGTATTTTATAGCGTAATAATCTGTTGGTATAAATTGTGTATTTTTAAATTGACTGGACCAATTGAATAAATTTTTTTTTTTTTGAAAGATGGACGATGAATAGGCCCTAAAGCAAACCCTTAATATACTAATTTAAAGGATAAATAATATCTTACCTATATATCCTTCTTTAGAAAATATTTTATATTAAAAAACATTACTTTACTGGAATTGGTAGAGCTAGTTTTTATAAATGATCGGATATTTATCAATCTCTTTCCTAATATTTCTTTACTGAATAGTTTTTAATACACACACGTTTTAGTGAAAAAAGTATTTGACTTCGAAAATAATAATAACTCGTTGCCCAAAAAATCAAATATTCCATAAAGAATTATAAAAAAAGAATAATTGTTATTGATTTAAGACTTAATATTCAGTACTACTCACCGACTTCGTCATTAGTATAATTGAAATCTAAAACGAGAAATAACAAATTTTTACAAACATTAATTCAGTAATTATAAATGTTATCATTGTTATGGCAGAATAATAAAGCACATAAAATAATATAAATATAAGGTTGATATGAAAGTGATTTAAAAATTGCGGAAATTAATTAGCTAATTTTATACTTTTATATCAATCTTCTTTACCGTATAAGAAAAGTATTTAATTAGTGTTTCGAGTTATCATAATGTTGTTGGTATAAACAGTTTTAATTTGAGTAATGTATGTTGGATTCGCATCACTAGAGGACGATTTCTTAAATTTTTTATTATGACTGATAAAATATAACGACTCGCACTACGACCACCGGTTGTGCGAGAAATTCATTATGTCAGATGATTACGTACGCGATCGATGTATGATATCGATGTGAAAATCCTTTGAGTCGTAGTGTTTGTGGTGCTGTTACTATTTTGGCCCTTGTCAAAGTGTTCCATAAAGCCTTTTTCGTACATAATAGTTTTTTTATATATAGATAATCGCTCTAGCGATTCGCGTGTACCCATGTACATCACCTTACGATTAACCACATCCCATTGATGTTAGTGAATTGTATCCACCATTTTGTTGAAAGGTTATTCATTCCAGATCAGTTCAAGACTACAGTAATTGCTAAGTAATTAATTAGTTGTCATTATCTTATTACTTTTACATATATTAATATTTATTTGTCTTTGCGCCAGTGTGGCATTAGTGTTAAGTGCTCCCCTCTACCCCATTAGTTCATATATAAGAATTTTTGATTTATGTTAAAAATACAGTTTATTGTTTTATATTCTTTCAATACATTTACTCATTTATACAGTACACTCCTTACTTCTTTTTCCTGCATGATATAGATACTCCAGAAACGAACAGTAACTACCCGCACATTATTACCGGGCGTTCCGTTCAAACAGTGTACTTGTTTTTATATTAATTGCAATTTTCTTTAAGCTACTAAAGATACATTTTATTTTGGTTTATTGGTACTAATTAGAAAATGTATTCTAATCAATTGTGATATTAAAAATTGTTTGTTACCAAAATTTTAGTTCGTTAAGTTTATTTGTTCTTCTCGTGGTCCGTGTTTTTTATTTTTAGGTAGCTTCTCTGGCTAGCAGCTCTGCGAATTGTGGGTACTATTATTGATTGTCATTTATTAAACACATAAGTTATTACAATTTTTTTTTATTTATTATTTATTTCATTGTAGGCGTAAGGCCAACGCACAATGGTCATAAGGACCTTGTGGATATAAAATTGTCATTATTGTACGAGTATTTCTTGTTTTATATTCTGGATAAATTATTAAATTATTAAACTATCTTTATTTTTGTATTATTGGTTCAATGTCATTTTTAGTAATAATTATTAGCTAGTCATTTTTGTCTATGGAAATAATTTTTGTCACTCTATCTTGTTATTTAATTTTATAGTATTATTATTCAATTTGTCTTTTAAGAATTAATTTTCATAATTTTACAACATTGTTCCTTTTATTAACTTAATTCAAGTTTAACTTACATTAATTAATTTAAGAGTTTTAAACACACACTATTTCTCTACATTTAATATTTAATCTAATTTTGTTAGTTTAAATGTCTTTCTTTGTAACTTGACATAAATTTAACACCATACATTGTTTTTTTGTACTATAATTTTTAAAAATATTGAATTATCTTCATTGTACAATTTCTTATTTTTATTCAAAATCTTACTGTAGTCCAGTTTTAGATCACACCCAGTGGGTTGGCAGCCCAACTTTTTCCTTTTATAACGCATGTAAGTTATAAGTGTTGTCAATTGTGCCCAAAAGCAAATATCAACGTTTGTAAATTTACAACTTTTTATAATATTTTATTAATGAAAGTCCATAAAACTTAACTTACCATCATCATAATCTGGGTAATATTGTGGTTCTGAATGATGTCCTGTTATTATAAACAATTGTTAGCTAATTATTCGACTCTAATTTTATTTAAATTCATATAATTATAAAATTGTATGCATTTAATTAAACTATAACAAATTATATACAGCATAATATTTTCGAAAATTGAAGTATTGTTGTATAAGTACATTAATTAATTTATAATATATACAATTGTTAATTTTTATTTTTTAGAATTCACGTCAAGTGAATTAAATTAATGAATTATTGTTATTAAAAAGCAACATATTAACTAAAAATAAGTATTTTAATATTAAAAATCAAGATGTATGAATTCAAAATATTTATTTATATTTTTACTATAAATTGCAAACAATCGTGGAACGTAAACGTTTATTGAACGCATACATTAAACGTACACGTTTATAGAACTTGTATGTGTTCATCGAACATTAGAATCCGTTTGACGCGATTATGACACATAACGGTCGGTCGTCACGTTCGACCGTCACAGACCGCCCCTTTTACGATGAATGGATTCTATTGTTCCGTGAACGTAAACGTTCATCAAACGTATTCTATTGTTCTATTAGATTTAAATCCAATTTTTTTTAATCCATGAACGTATAATAGAACAATAGAGTTTTGACCTAATAAAACAATAGAAACCAACTGTGACATCCTATCGTGATGAGCGATAATTTTTTTTTCCTCTCTGTAATGAAGTCTCACTTCAAAAAACTACATTATGGTATTTCCTACAAAATATTATCTGGTATCTAGAATGGTGTGTCAAAAAACACATCGTCTTAAAGAGCAACAAACATACTAAACGAGAAATTATGATAAATTTTTATAAAAAAAAAGTATCTTGCAAAAATAAACATTAATTTTAGTTATAAATTTTAAGATTGTTATTTTGTGTTGTTTTATTTTAATTAATTTTATATTATAGCTTTAATTTTTGATATTCAAATACTATATTTTTTACTTAAATTTAATAATTTAAATATGCAATTTGTATGCAATTATTATTTTTATATTATGAATTTATATTTAGTAATTAATACTAATTATTATTGTAATTTAAATTTACTCTTTGTGTAAAAATTAAGACTTCACCTGTAATAAAGTGCTAGGAATTTTATAATTAATCGAATTCTTCTGAAGACCAGCTTTTTTTTATTTTAACTAATTTAATAATGATATCTGAATAATTTGAGAGCAATCCAAAATCATTAACACTATGTTTTTTTTAATATCGGAATTACGTATAAGAGGTCATAATGCACATTAAAAATTAATACTAATCTGTATAAGAGTTATAACTATGATTGTTTAGGAGATTACTTGCCTTTGTAGAAATTTACTAGTCGTCAATATATTTTAAAGTATTCATTAACTCGAAATAATTTTAATAAAAAATTTAGTATAATGGCGCTTATATCATTAAATATTAATTCAATTCTGAAGTTATATTAAAGCTTTTATGTACAGGAAAATCAATTAAGGATTAGACACTTATTTTTTTAGAAAATATTGGATATTTTCAATTTTTGTAGAGGAATACTATTGTTTAATTAAAAATACTCTACAATAATAGATAGTTAAATTTTTTTTTCTCCTCTTAAGGATTAAACCCTAAATTTTATTTTTCTTTAATGGCAACCCATATTTTTAGTTAAATGATCTGATGGAAAAAAAAACATTTTTTTATCATATGAATCGTTTTAATTTTTGAACTTCATTATTGATCTGTTAGCACAGAGAAACGTTTTCATTCCAAGCATATGGTAATAGTTCATTGGCAGTAACCGCAACTGTGTCAGAACTGTCAGTACTGGTGCGATATTGTGCCTGTTGTTAATTTTTTATTACCAAAAATTATCGATTAAATCTTGATAATGTAACATCATGAAGAAATGACGAATTCTTTATGCTAAATAGCAAATAGAAAATTGATCGAAAAACGCTTAACTTTAACAAGCAATAACAGAAGAAAAATTTATCTTAATATAACAAATATGAAAAGAATAAAAGTTCTTTTATTATTTTTTCTATCATATCATTACTCTTAAAAATCTAGTAAATCCATATAGGTGTGTATAAATTTTCCATATCAAGGTAATCGTAAATAATAGGTTCTATCAAATTGTCATCATCTAATACTTCATACAATTGTACCTCATTTTTAAGATTTAAACTAAATAATAGGTTTCCATAATAGAAATTTAATGTTTTTTATTCCTAAAGGAAAGAAATAAAAATTATTTAACTACATTTTTTTATGGCCTACATTACTTAGTCAGGTACGCGTCATCCAATAATTAATAATGTCGTGCTGAGTTATAAACATTTTGTAATCAAACTTATTAAACTTACCAATGCCTGGTGGACAACCACCTCCTATATACAAGAAATTGATTTATATTTTCAATAAAAATCTTATTTCAACCTTACTTAAACATATAGTATGTGAATAAATGTTTTACTAATATAATCAGCCTACATATCTCAGTCGATTTAGTTGTACTGAGCTACGTAGGTTATATAATAATATCATATATTTATAAGTTTTATATTTTTATTAATATAACTGATGTATACAGCTGCATGAAATATTAAACTTACCACCACCAAGTTGGATACCGCCTCCCATACCTTTATAGAAAAAATATATTTATATTACTCAGTCCGGCACGTATTGTGTAGTGCTTAGTTATGTAAGTTTTACCATTCTTTCTCTTACAAAGGTTTTTATGGGAGATTTGAAATATAAAAATGTAATAAAATTTAAATGTAAAAATAAAAATGTATAAAATTTAAAAAAAAAATAACATCTGTGTAACATTATTTATACAATATAATCGTATGTAATACAAAAAAAATATATTTTTTTTTTACTTAAATAATCGTATTCCATCCATACTCAAACATATGTTACGTCTACTAAATATCTTACTAATTTAAAGATACATATAGTACCCGGATAAAGTTTGAAATATATTATAATAAAAATTGATCAATTTTGGCTAAGATTACTTAAAATTAAAATATATTGTTGGTCAGTCATAATCAGCCAAGTATACGTCATATTTTAGTGCATAGTACCAAAGTATGTCTCATATTTTGAATGTTAAAGAAGAACCTTAGACCATATAACCAAGAATCAAAATGTTTTTGGGACTGAGGTATTCCCCAAAAAGTTAGGGTTTTAATTTCTAAGGTACAACTTAATGTTATTAACAAGGATCTGCAGTTTAAAATGAAAAAAAAACTATAGTATTAACAAATAATCAAAGAGAGGGTAGAAAGAAAAGCACCTTAAGACAATAAAAGAAGCGTAAAACTGCGATATTAGTGGTAAAAGAAATGTATCATTATTTTATGAATAAAACTTATAATTAAATTACAGATTAATTATATTTTTCATAAAATAACTTACATTTAAAACAGCATGAAATATTAAACTTACCATCACCAAATGAAAAACCACCTCCTATACCTATAAAAAAATGTATATTTATTTTTACATAAATAATCCTATTCAAACTATTTAACATGTCGTATGTCTAATGAAAATAATACTATGTGTCCTACATTACTCAGTCCGGTACGTGTCATCATTTAATACATAGGTATCAATGATTAATAATGTTGTCCTGAGTTATAACGATTTTGTAATCCAATCACACACTTAGAAATATTTATGTTTCATATTTTTACTAAAATAACTAATGTAAAAACTGCATAAAATATAAAAGTTACCATCACCAAATGAAAAACCGCCTCCCATACCTATTCAAAAAATATATATATTAATTTTTTACATAAATAATCTTATTTATTTAAAATATTAAACTTACCTACGCCTGGTGGACAACCGCCAGGTGGACAACCACCTCCTATACACAAAAAATTTATTTATATTTTCAAAAAACTATCATATTTCACTCTTAATTAAACATTAGAACATCAATAAATATTTTACTAATATAAGCGGCCTACATATAGTTTTAAAATCATATATTTAGAAATATTTATAAGTGTAGTAACATATTTTAAAACCCAGCACAAGGAGGTCGCGCACAGTGTTGACGTAGCATAGTTGAATCAAGTATAATGATATCTGACAGTGATTAAAATCACTATAAAAAAAAAACGCTTCGATGCCAATCTTTAAATAGTGTTTAATTTTAAAAAATTGGTGAATTATTACAAAAGCTACATGATCTGCTATTTCCTTAATAATTTAATAATTATAATAATTATAATAATAAATAATAATAATAATTTTTTATTTTTTTTAGATGCTTGATGTCTTTATATTTTATATATTTTTTTTTATAAATTTGACCCTTTACCTGCCCACAGGAGGGATTTAAAATGACAACTTTTTCACAAAAAAATTAACTTTTGAAAGTGTTTTGGAAAGTCTGACACTTATATATATATATATCTTAAATTAAAGATAATGTAATATACTTTTATCATTACAATTTTTTTATGAGAAATAAAAAAATTGGTGGATTATTACAAAAGTTACATGATCTGCTATTTCCTTATTTATATCCTGATTAAGATAAATTATGTCGAATTAAAGAGAGATATAAATATTAGTTCTCATAAAAAAAATTGTATTGATCCATACACTTTTTAATAAGTTAATGCATTATAAAGTTAAAAATGTAAAATACAAAATCGAGAATTTTCACACACAAATAGCATTTGGTAGCCATTTTTACCGTGAAGACAAAATAAAGTCCGAAATTTTTTTTTCGATGATAAAGTATATTACATTAGCTTTAATTTAAGATATATTTCCAGAACACTTTCAAAAGATAAGTGAAAAAAGTTCTACTTTCTATATGCATTTTTAAGTTTTGAACACCTCTGTATAAAGGAAAATAGTCTCATTTAAAAAAAAGTATGTCGAATGAAATAGTTATATAAATAATATTTCTCATGAAAAAATTGTATTAATTCGTACTTTTTTTAAAAGGTTATTGCAGTTCTAAGTAAAAAAAATTAAATCCCCCATTTGTGGTATACGAGGTAAATTTTTAATAATTTTAAGGTAATGTATTTGACTAGATACGATTTGTGATCTTTTTACGTATTGTTGAAAGAAATCGGTTCCGTGAGAGCTGAGAAAATGTGGTTACAGACACAAAAAAAAACGCATCATAGTAAAATTAATACCTTCTCAGCTACGCATCAAAGCTTAAAGGCAGAGAAAGCATTTTGTAAAATGACTGAATGAGTAGTATCCAACATAGACATTAGAGGATATCTCATGGAACGAGGTTTTTGTAGATTAAAGTAGTTAAAAGAAATAAAGATAAAGTGCCAGTATAAGTATGAAAAATATTAGGCGATGTTGCCATAAGATGGTTGAAGGATATTTTTAATAAAATCCTATTAGAATGGAAAATGCCGAAATAATGGAGAAATAATATTATATTGGTGATATTTAAAGGCAAAGGAGACATACAGGAGAGTGGAAATTATAGAAGCATAAAGCTTATGAGTCATAATATGAAGATTTTGGAAAAGTTAATAGATAAGAGAATAATAAATGAGACATCGGTATTTAAAAACCAGTTTGGATTTATGCCTGGAAAGTCAACGATGGAGCCAATTTTTTGTGTGTAACAATTAATAGAAAAGTATAGGGAAAAGAAGAAAAAGCTGTGTATGGTATTAATAGATTTGATGAAAGCACATGATAGAGTGCCGAGAGAAGTTTTAAACTGGACAATAATGAGAAAAAGAGTCCTAAAAGGTACATTTATATAAATTGAAGATATGTATGATGGCACTTGTAACAGGGTAAAAAGTGTGGGCGGAGTAACAGAAGGTTTTAGGGTAAAAGTAGGAGTGCACCAAGATTCTGTTTTAAGCCCTTACTTAATTTCTATATTGATAGATAAAATTATTAGAGAAATACAAAGAAAGGTACTGTGGTGCATGCTGTTCACTGACGATATAGTATTAATAGGACATTAGTGAATATCTCATGGAACGAAGGACTTGTACATTAAATTAGTATGAAAGGTATAATGTTAATAGGAGAGAATAGAGAGGAAATTAATCAATAGGATGAGATATGGAAATCAGCTCTTAAAGGAAAGGGATTAAGAATAAGTAGGAGTAACACAAAGTATAGAGAGTGTGAGTTTAATGAACGAGGTCATGATAGGAGAGGTGGATTGATTTAAGTATTTAAGTTTCAATTTAAAGTATTTAAATTTAATTTTAAGTATTTAAATTTAATTTTAAGTATTTAAATTTTTTATAGCAATGTCTTCGACTAGATACGATTTGTGATCTTTTGACGTATCGTTGAAAGAAATTGGTTCCGTGAGAGCTGAGAAAAAGTGGTATTAGATACAAAACATCCAATAAAACATATCTTAAGAATCTCATCAAAGATTGCTTAACTGCTTTTTCGAACTATAAAAGACCATTTAAAAAAAGCCAAACAAATTCACTCTTGTTTACAACTTTATATCTAATCCATGCCATTATTCATTTCATTTTTAGTCGCTGGGACTTAGAAGAATTTTAATACATCTTATTTTCGGTTGAACTATTTCTGGTAATACAAATACTTCATCGCAGAAAACATATTGATATTTCATTTGTCTGTTTATATTTTTATTTTGCACCTTACACAATATAAAAAATCACTAAACTGATGTGTTTCGTTTAGCAAATGGAGCCCTATCGAACCGGAGACAGTGTGCAACAGGCACTATCGCGTGTTAGGGTGAGGGCTAAAATTCCTATGCCGCTTATCCCGGCACTTATGACTATGTTTATAAGTGGACTATACAAGGGAAGGGAAAGATATTCTGACCAAAAAACAAGTACCCTGAATAGGGAGGGTTCGCTTACACTAATCAGGGGAGTGAAGTGATCAGGTAATAATAGATTTTCAATTAAAACTAAGAAATAATAAAACAAATAATGTGATAATAAAATGCAATATTACAGAACTGTATTAAAAATAAATAAACAATTAACTGCAATGATTTTGGTATATAAATAAATACTAAATATATATAAATCAATTATAAAAAATATATCTCTTTTTTTGTTATACAATTGATTTAAAGTTTTCCTTTTTGGCACAACAACAATAATATTTTCAGAATAACAACAATATTAATTTTATAGACCTACCACAAAGAAATCTAATAAACAATAACCACAATAAAAATAAACCTAAGCAGGAATTCACTAGTAATTTAAATAAATTAATTATCACTAGGAATAAGTATATAAATTTGTTACTGTGACTTTACTTATCAAATAAAACACTGACAGAACGGTAAAAGAAATATGTGCACTGATCAACTGCGACAGGCACCTGGACAAAACTTAGAATATAATACTACACAAAAACTAAATTAAACAATTAACTATCACACAAAATTTACTATGTTAGAATAATTATACAAAGTGAAGATAGGAACCTTAAATTTAATATATCTGTTCTTAAAACAAAAATAATATCACAGTCACATCAAAAATCAAGTTAACACATATATTTCTTTTCTCGAAAAAATTTTACTTAACCTAATATTATATGGGCAGGGAAAGGAAGGGAAAATCAGTGCAGTTCTCCGTGTAGGTTGAACTGCAAGTAGGTGCCAAAGTTGCGGCTAGAGCACGCCACCTGATTAATGCTATGCTAAACACCGCTTTATCGACTTGGTCACGCGATACCTCTCAATAATATCACAAATTAAGTTTTAATTAACCATAAGCGTTCTCCAAAGTATCTCTTTACTTATCGACCAGTTAGTCTGATCTCTGTCGTTTTCCGAAAGGAGACACTAGTATAATCTATTGAGCAAAGAACTTAAATTGAGCTCGCATCTTCCTTAGATCACTTAATAGATGACTGAAAAAACGTAGACTACTAGGAAATAGTTTATTGCACAGAACAGTAATGTTAATTAGAATCTAATTATTAGTTTCAAAAATTATTAAATTATAAATGTGTTAGTATAAATGGCGACAAAGAAGGTCGAAGAGCATACTATGGAAATATACAAAAAGGGTTTACATGAAATCTCAAAAGGATATTAAATTTAATTTTCACTTGGGGTAGATTTAAAATAAAGTTGTACTGGATAAATAGTTACACTCGAATTAATATAATAATAAAAGTCGCGTAATTTTGTTACATAAACGTATATCGTAAATAGTGAAAACAGCTACATGAGTGATCTCATCCGAATATTGACTTACCAGCAGGCCCGTCGCTAGGGTACAAGCAAGTCATGCATTGCTTTAGGGCGGCAAAATTAAATTAATAATCGTCGAAAAAAAAATGAAGTAATATTACTATTTTACGTCTACGCTGTTATCGTATTAACTCCGCTATTTTGTTGTGACTACGATTGATCAGTGCATAGTTATAATATAACTATACATATATACACTATATTATAGTGAATACTTTTATAACTATATATATATATATATATATACCTTTTAGATTATTGCCCACTACCCGTGTGGCCGGTATTCCCAAAAACCTATTTTATTTACTGATAATGAGAAAAACGACCGTCACCTGTTGGTATTTTTATTTTGTGCGTTATACATTTGTCGAATTTAACGAGAGTTTAGACCAATTTTTATCTTACTGAATTTCATTTCTCAACAATCGTCCATCGGTGAACAACATATAGAATACGGTTTAAGATGACGTCGAAGTAAAAGATAATCGGTATTTATTATATTTGATTGTTTTTGCTAAGATTAATAGAGCTCAAGTATTTTTAATTTTATTTATACTTCGTAGATTATAAAAAAAGATATTTTAATTATTGGTAGTTTTTGCCATCTAAAAACTTGTATATTATTTTTTGTTTATAAATCATTCAATATTTGNATCTAAAAACTTGTATATTATTTTTTGTTTATAAATCATTCAATATTTGTTATAATATTACACAATTACGCATTGACCATGTCGTCACGAAAACGACTTTCCGGGTTTGAATATAAAAAAATACGAGAAAATAAACAGAATTTTATTAACACACAAGCAGGGAGTTTTACTAAATTTTTATTGCAAAAACCTGTAGATGAAATTAAACTACTGAATGATGATTGTTCACAAACTAAAACTAATTCTGATATACCTACAACCCAACAGAGTTCGGACATACAATTAAATAACAATTTAAACTGTTCACAATCCACTTCTTATGAAATACCAGATAAAGCTTTGCCGCGGGTAGAAGTTGATTTATTTTCTGATTCTGATAAAGATTCTATTAATTCAGATAAATTTAATTATGAAGAAATTAACATTACTTCGGAAAATGACGAATTGGAAACAAATAGTGTTGAACATTCAGATGACCCAAGTGACTGGCCACTAAAATTAACCGACTCAATTCGAATATCACTTATAAGAAAAGGGCCTGTGCAAATTAAAAATTATTCTTTTCCGAAAAACCAATAAAATAGGAAAATTTCTGATGCTTATTATCAACGAATTTTGAATAATGGAGAAAAAATAGAAAGATCCTGGTTGGTTTATTAAAAAAAAAA